TGGCCATCTATCAGGGAACCAGCAAAGTCTACACGGAAGAAGTACACTAGCCTGTGTGATCATGAGTTGTTGATGGGAAGGGGTATCAGAAGTTCAAAAACAAGCAACAAAATAGATGTGAAGGGGTGTGGATGTATTGGAGACCCCAAACCCACCTGTAAGATAATTGGGCAGTACCTTTCAGAATGGCCACATGAAAGAGATGACAAATCCAGGGTACAGTATGGCACTGATGAATCATAGAACTATCATCTAGTTCTTTAATATTTCCTCCCCTTACTATTATGGTTTTTATTTGTTTTACTTCATTAACCATGTTAGATTTGCAATGTTCATTTGTATGTTTAAGATCATTCGATACATGAGAGCCAAAACCCTTCAGAAACAGTAACAGGAGTCATGGTTCCCTAGAGGTACAGGAAGGTCGGGTGGGGAAGATAGCATTGATGACTGTATAACCCCATTCGATGGGATCAAACAACAGAATTGTATGTGAGTGGATATATTGGATTGTGTAAGATATGGCATAAAAGCAAACACACAAACTATTATAGGGGGAAAAATAAGAGTTCCTGGGGAGTAGGGTAGGGGATGGAGGGGATAAAGGGGAGCTGATATCAAGGCGTGCAAGAGGAATTAAAGCATCTTGAAACTGACTGTGGTTGCAATTGTACAACACTGCTTGATGTGATTGAACTCTGAAATGTTATATCTGCAAGAGCTCCCAATAAAGTGATTAATAAAGTTAAAAATAGAACTACCATATTTTATAATGTAGGAAGGACATCATTTATAATTTCCTTCCACAAAATAATAATGATGTCTTTCAAGTGAACTAGGAACACATGTAAACCACAGACATATGAAGGAATTTTGAGTTTGCATTTAATCCTAGGCCTAATTTAAGAAAAATGAGTCCTTATGACATGGCCCTACTTAATACCCTCATGGAGTGATCACTGAAGAGATGGGTGCTATAGCAAAGTATGGGGAAAAAGTAGATGGTGCCTGGCTAATAGTCTTAAAGGATCTTAAAGTTTGCCTTAAAACAAACATTCAGCTAAGTAAAGCATTGTGAGAAATCAGGTCTCACAAATCAAACCGGGGTCGAGAGGGGCACGGTGGCAATTGATAAAGATAGATAAAAGGTCAAAGGGAAGACAAAGTTGGGGCATAGGGCGCACGCGGGTAAGGGGCTCCAAGGCCCAGCCCTTTATTCAAGGCAGGTTTATATACATACAGTTCTTGTCACGGAACCAGCATTGTGTGACAGCTTCTCACACAAAAGGGTTTGTTGACATTTCACTGAAGGCAAACAAAGAAGCAAGAATATTTCCGCCCATGTGTCTAGGATCTGGAAGGGAAGATAAAGCCCAAACCAGGGGGTATGACTGCACACCTGCAGAATGCTGTGTCCGCAGCTTCCCGGGGACAGGAGAGCAAGTGTTTATCTTCGTTGGAGGTCAGACCACCCAGTCCCTCAGCTCCCTGTGTTTGAGCCGTCAGCAGCTTCCCACCAGCCTTGCCTAAGCCGTGGGATATAGTGGTCCCGTCTTAACTTGGAGAAGGAAATGAAGTTCAGACTCTCCCGTTGATGCACTCTGTTACTCGGAAGCCTGGGACAGAATTTTGCACCAATCGCTCCACGGTCAGAGGCTTTGACACATATTCCTTTCTCAGAGTTCATCTTAAAAGACCATCTGCTCCCACAAGGCATCCGCTAAGTCCTCTCTGAAGCACACCAGCCTGTGTGATGCAAGGGTTGTAAATAATAAAAACCAAACCCAGAGAAGGGAGCAGTGTTACAGCTTAAATTCTGAACACCCAGTTTGCAGAAGACAGATGCCAGTGAAAGCTCCAAATCCATTCATGAAGTCCCCTTTGCGGATTAAGCCTCTGGTGAGTCCCCTCTAATGATGGCCCAGGGATGGGAAAGACCTTGTTACCAGACAGAGTGCATTGTAGGGGGGATGGCTGCAGTTGTGGTACTGCCAAAATGGGACACCTGGTCGCTGATCCCCCTCCTGATCCAAAGGATAACTGTTCCAGTTTTTAAGATTTTTTTAAAGTCATTTTATTAGGGGCTCATATAACTCATCACAATCCATACATCCATCCGTGTGTCAAGCACATTTGTCCATTTGTTGCCATCATCATTCTCAAAACATTTGCTTTCTACTTGAGCCCTTGGTATCAGCTCCTCATTTTCC